TTTATTTTATGTTAGGAGCTTCTGGTTAATTTGACAAGTCAGTCCTTAGGTTGTAGAATATTTGGGTGGCACTAGGACTTAATCAGAGAAATGAATACTTAATATTGCCTAGAGATGGGTCCTGTGCTGACTTAGATGGATACCGTGAGTAGTAGGAAGAGGGAGAGTCTGCACAAGGGATAATTGTGTCTTGCCACGGCGGAGGGGTGTGTGCCGGTGCTGGTTTGCAAGCTCCAAACCCACCTTTCTCTGCTGTGCTTTGGAAACTGGGGCTGGGATTCTGCACACTACATTTTTCCTTCCTCAGCTGGCTTCCTGTCAAGGTTCCACCAGTCAGGGACATAGGAGAGCGCCTGAAAGGCAAGGGGAGGAGAAGGGATTTCCTCCATCCTGTTTGCTGTTTGTTCTGTCTGCGCCACTCTGGTAACAGCCCTTTATCCTGGCATCAGCAGTGGGCTCCAGCCTCTAGCTTTTTTGGGGCATTCACAGAACCAGCCTCATCGCACCATTCCCCCCCCCCCTGCCATACTAGCAGCAACCAAGCAGTGCCCTCTCCTCAAAGGTCTGAGTTCAACTCTTGGGACCTCTTCCTTAGTCTGATAAAGTCCAGCCCTTCCCTTCATTCCCCAGCCTTAACGGTTTCCATCCTGCTTCCTGTAGTTTGTTCTTCTGTGTTAACTTCAGTTACCTTTTGCTCTTTCAGTCTCCTGACACCTGTTTAACAATTCCCCCTATTAAATTCTGTGTTGTAATTTAGTGTGGTGTCTTTTTTCCCTGAATTATCTCTAACTGCCGTATCTCCATTCTAACTGATCAGCATTCTAACGTAGCATGTGCCCACATTGTGCATTAAATGTATTTTATATGTAACTAAGTAAGATTTGGATTGAGTAGCAGCAGTTGACTAGTTGACCTAATGCTACCTTTTTATATATTTAGATCTTGTAATTTTCTTTGTATATTTTTATAGGTAATACCTTATTCCTTTTCTCATATTTTATATATTTTTTAAATAAATCTTATTATATAATACTTTTGAGATTTACAGAAAAGTTGCAAAGATAGTACAGAAAGTTTCCATATACCCTCCCTACCCTTGTCTCCCCTATTGTTAGCACCTTATATTGTTATGGTACATTTGTCATAACCAATGGACCAATATTGATCGGTACATTATTATTAACTAAAGTCCGTACTTTATTCACGTATTCTTAGTTTTCACCTTATGTCTGTTTTCTCAGAATCCCATCAAAGATACCACATTACATTTAGTGGTCATATCTTGGGCTCGTTGTGGCTATGACAATTTCTCAGGTTTTTTTCTTAGTTTTGGTGCCTCTGACCATTTTGAGCAGTACCGATCAAGTGTTTTATAGAATATCTCTTTGTTGGACTTTCGTGTTTTTATTATGAACAGACTAGGCTTATAGATACACACATACATATATTTTAAGGCCCAGGAAAAGTTTGCTCTGGGCCTGTACTGCCTAATGGATGGTATAGCCTGTGTGACACAAATATGCCCAGAGTTGGAAGAAGATGTATGACTGCTTTTATCAGTGGTACATAATCTGCATCCTACGGTGTTTACCAAGTGCTGTGTCTTGGCAGTATTTCTGTGGGGGAGTGGGCCTTTGAAAAGGCTACGAAGTATCCAGTTATATGAATGTGCCATATTTATTTTACTGTTGCAGACATTGCTTCCCATTACTGTGCAAGTATGAGTCCATCTGTAATTCCTAGAAATGGCCTCACTGGTCTGAGCATGTCTGTTTCTCATCTTGATAGGCATTGCCAAGTTGCCCCATGAAACTTAAACCATATCAACAAAGTAGAAAGTGTTTGTTTCATGATCAAATAATGAATCTTAACAGTAGTGTTCTTCAGGCCGGGTACAGTAGCTCACACCTGTGATCCTAGCACTCTGGGAGGCTGAGGCTAGTGGATCACTCAAGGTCAGGAGTTTGAAACCAGCCTGAGCAAGAGTGGGACCCCATCTCTACTGAAAAAATAGAAATTAATTGGCAAACTAAAAATATATATAGAAAAAAGTTAGCCGGGCGTGGTGGCGCATGCCTGTAGTCCCAGCTACTTGGGAGGCTGAGGCAGGAGGATTGCTTGAGCTCAGGAGTTTGAGGTTGCTGTGAGCTAGGCTGACGCCATGGCACTCTAGCCCGGGCAACAGAGTGAGACTCTGTCTCAAAAAAAAAGAGGAAGAAGAGTAGTGTTCCTCACAGAGACAGAATGTTCCAGCAATTCTCTTTCAGGCACAGCACATTTTGATGAACCATTTTTAGCAGGTCCATGGAGCATCAATGAACAAAATAAACAAAGAAAACCCTGTACCCTGTTTTCTACTAAAGGAAGTCTAGCTTGGGACTTTTAAATGACCCTTCAGGTGTGTCTTTGTGATCACTTGACATGGGGCGTTTTTTGTTGTTGTTGTTTTATACTGTGTTCCAGTAAAATTGCCAGTTGAATATCAGTGGTCAGAAATTTGATAGTTTGGCCACAAAACTTGCTGCCAGATTACTGAATTGGTATGTGGAAGCCTCCAAAATTATGTTACCAAAGATTTTTAAGACTGTGATTTTAGTAATTACTGTGAGCCCATGCACCCCAAAAGACTTTTTTATATAAGATCTTCTCTCTTTGAATTGTGTGGTAAAACCATGGGAGCATGAATACTGGGCACACTTAGAGATGAATTTGGGATCCAGTCAGTCAGCAGATACTTAATGAGTATGTAGTTGTTGGTGGAGACTGTGCTAGGTGCTCAGGATAGACCTTTCATAGTATTTTCTATAAATCTGTATATAAGTCATACCCTTGTTTGTTTCCTACTTGTTCTGTTTACTGAGGCAATTTTCTTTCTCTTTTTTTTGTTTTTGAGACAGAGTCTCGCTTTGTTGCCCAGGCTAGAGTGAGTGCCGTGGCATCAGCCAACCTGAAACTCCTGGGCTCAAGCAATCCTACTGCCTCAGCCTCCCAAGTAGCTGGGACTACAGGCATGTGCCACCATGCCCGGCTAATTTTTTTCTATATATGTTAGTTGGCCAATTAGTTTCTTTCTATTTATAGTAGAGATGGGGTCTCACTCTTGCTCAGGCTGGTCTTGAACTCCTGAGCAGGCCGCCTGCCTCAGCCTCCCAGAGTGCTAGGATTACAGGCGTGAGCCACCACGCCCAGCCTGAGGCAATTTTCTTTCTTTGAGGAAACACATTAATTGCAAGGAAGTATTCATTTTGTAAAAGAGTGAAGAGCACTATTTATTGCTTCAACAAACATCTGAGCGCCCCGTTGAGGCCCTGCCCTCGGCAGTCCAGTCCGCATGTAGTAAGGGAGGCTGATGTGTGGCTGAGTGCCAGTCTTCAGGTGGGGGGTTAGGAGGACTTGTGAGAGGGGAGCAGCTGGTGCAGGCCCCCAAGGAATGTTTGAAGAGGAGTGAGGAGGCCAGAGACACCTGGCATGGAGGGAGAAGGGTAAAAGGACAGGAGGTCAGGGCTGCACAGGTGGGGGGGGTAATTGGGCTTCCTCCTCACATCACTAGGAAGCCATTGGAGGTGTAAGCCAGCAGAGACAGCTTCTTCTGGTGTTAAGAGGTCAGTTGGGGAGTGAAGAGAAAGCAGGGACTTGGAGTTCAGAGGAAGTGGTAGTGATGAGGAACATGGATGGACGTGGGTCTCTTAGAGGTGGAAGCAGTGGGACCTTCTGACAGCCGGAAGGTAAGAGGTAGGTGGAATGGGACTGAGGCTGGCTGCTAGGTTGTTGCTTTAACTGGGTAGATGGTACCACCTACTAGAGAAGCGAGGGGAGGAGCAGGTTGAGTGTGGGTGGAGATCCAGGTTTGAGTTTGGTGTGGTTGTAGTTTGGGAGCCCTGTGGACGAGAGTTTCTGTGGGTTTACCATGAATGCCTTCTGGATCTAAAATATGTTGCAGATTTTTTTCAGGGATTTAAATCACATCCTCTGTGATATAGTCCCCCCTCAAAGACTGATAGGTGTCACTGTTAACACTGGAACAGTTAGTGAGGAAGGAGCACTGATGCCTGCGAGGGGAGCCCACAGGAGGGTGGCCCTTGCCCTCAAGCGGGCTACTCAGATGGGAGGCTGTCACCTTCAGGCATACATGATAACAGCATGACTTCACATAGGACAGCAAGTTAGGGAGTAGCTGGTATTGAACTGGGTATTCAGAGTGTGAGGTAGTTTGGGGTATGAAGGACCAGCCGGGCCATAGCAGTGTGTCTTGCTGCTCATCAGGTGGATGTTAAAGGTTATTGGCCTGGGGGATTGGACATTTTCAATGATTCTCAACACAGGCATAGTTGGCCTTTTAAGAAGGACTACTGTTTCCTATGCAGGCCTGGGATCCCCACCCACTAAATACCAGTAATCGCTCTGGTCATCATGACTACAAAACAAAACAAAGCAAAAGCCTGCAGGGAGGGCTGGAACCCAGGCTGGGATCCCTTACACAGTGCCCAGCCCAGAGTGGAGGAGAAGGGGCAGCAGCTCCAGGTCTGTACCCCAACCCCCTCCCAGTCTTAATTTTGGAGCTCTCTGAAGCAGTTGCCTGTTGAGTGCTTTGCACACAGTGGTATTTAATACATTGGCTGATGAGCCTAGCGTGAGTGATCTTTTAGTGTGGTTTCCTAGAATGAAGACTGCCTCCTGCACACCAGTCCCCAGAGAGTAGGACAGGGCTGCACAGTAGGGAAACTAACATAAAAACTGGTCTCTCTGATTGGACTTAACAATGCTAAGAACTTCAGTGATGCTAGCTTAAATGTTTTCTTTTTTTAGTTTCTTCAAGGCCCAGAATTCATATAAACTAGCATGGAAACTAGTTACTACTGTTTTAACCACGTAACAAATAGACTGTGCTATAAGCAGATGCACCAGTGCTACAGTCGGGAATAAATGGGGTTTCACAAGTTCTACCTTTTCGAATTCTTTGTTTGTAATTGCCTGACATCTTTGTACGCTTTTTTTTCCAGACAATTTATGAAAACCGAATATACAGCCTTAAAATAGAATGTGGACCTAAATACCCAGAAGCACCCCCCTTTGTAAGATTTGTAACAAAAATTAATATGAATGGAGTTAATAGTTCTAATGGAGTGGTAAGTTGTTCTTTCTGCCCCCACTGTTCCTCGGGGTTGAGAAATGCTTTGTAGTTATCAGGGACATTGGACTGGGCCCAATTCCATATGCTCCTTGATCATTTGATGAAAAATGTATCATGGTGCATGTGAGTGCAGATTTGGGGTGGGACCCTTTTCACAGTTGTATCTATCACTCATACAGCACTTCCTCTGAGCCAGCTCTGTGCTGGTCACTTTGAGATACGAGCTCATTCAGTCCTCATGATACCCGTTTGAGGTAGATATGAGGAAACTGAGTCACAGAGGTGAAAGATCTTGACCAGAACAACACCTTTACCTCCTGGGCCTTAATTGTGAACCACTGGTACATAACATTCTTTTCCTTGAGTGGCCTTGCTTTTTAAATTTATTTTTACTATGATTTCACAACTGTAAATGGAAACCAGTCCCACTCATCATAAGAAAGTAGTACTGGTAACAATAAATATTACCAAAGCAGAAGGTGCTAACAAATTCTTACTCATGTTATTTGCCAAAGGCTTTGAGCCTTTGAGACCTGCTTTCTTGTTCAAAGGGAAGATCAACAAGTGTTAAAGGGTGTAACTCTTATTAAAATCATGCCAAGCCTTTGTCTTTGAGATCTTCAGAAGACTTTAAAGAAAATTGAAAAGAGATGAGCCTTGTCACTGTGTATTCAGTGTTTAATGTTGTATCTGAGTTCTACGTAAAGTCCTGAACCCAAAATTCAACCCATGCTTTGGGGAATTTATTTTGGGAAACGTTGCACTAACCTGAGAGCCTTTGTCTCTGTGCAGGCCCCTGTCACTAGAGCAAGGGTCCCCGCTGCCCTCTGCCTTGCTCTTTCCTGACTGGCCCGGCTTCGTTTCCCACCACCTGGGGGCAGAGTCGAGCAAGGGCAGCCCTGGGCACCCTTAGAGCTGAGTTGGGCTGGGTCATATCCTGCCAGCTGTCAGTGTCATTATTTCCTTCTGCCAAATAGTGAGGTGGTTGGGGCACAAAAAGGGAAAAACTGACTGGAGGGAGGGAATCACCTAGGTAAGTATTCTATATGTCAAGTATCGTTCTGTGGACAGCATGCTCAACTAGAAAAACTGCCCTTAACTCAAGTGTGTACTATAGCTTATCTCCAGCATACAGCTATTTGTTTGGGAGCCTGGAGAGTAATTTGTTTTTGTTTGCCTTTTTTAGGTGGATCCAAGAGCCATATCAGTGCTAGCAAAATGGCAGAATTCATATAGCATCAAAGTTGTCCTGCAAGAGCTTCGGCGCCTAATGATGTCTAAAGAAAATATGAAACTCCCTCAGCCACCTGAAGGACAGTGTTACAGCAATTAATCAAAAGGAAAAACCACAGGCCCTTCCCCTTACCCCTATTCGATTTAAGCAGTCTTCATTTTCCACAGTAGTAAATTTTCTAGATATGTCTTGTAGACCTCAAAGTACTGGAAAGGAAGCTCCCATTCAAAGGCAGTTTATCTTAAGATACTGTAAATGATACTAATTTTTTGTCCATTTGAAATATATAAGTTGTGCTATAACAAATCATCCTGTCAA